TAATACAATAATATTTCTGGCTATCCTGGAGTAGCTTGACTTTCAAATACTAATTGGGCGAGAGTTGTTTAGTGTTTGTGTTTAGATATTGAATGGCTCATCTTTTCAGCACGGAGTCTTAAGTCCTCTGAACCAGGCCAGAGTACTAACAGGACCGTAATGCTTAGTAGAACATCAGAGTAAATGTTGCCATAAACTTAAGTCTTCTTCTTCTTCTCTAGGAAACCCTGCAAGTGCCTCCTGTCCATTACAAATGAGTCCCTCTAGAGTTGTGGTGAGATTTGGAGACGCCTTATCAGCCAAGTGCACTTCACTATCTAACCAGACTGAAGGAATGGGCTGGGAGTCTCCATATGAAGGAGTGGACCTTACAGGGGGTGTCACTTTTCTTGACTTTAAAATTGACTCTGTGCCAGCGTGGGAGTTAGAGCCAATATGTTATGTGAATTCCCGTGATGGTGGTCAGTGTCAAGAGGTTTTACCAGTCACTGTTTATAGTAAGTAGCCTTAACTTTCTCATATATTTCCAAGAAAGGTGTTTTAGTATTTGAACAGTGAATGACATTAATCCTTTTTATTTCTTCTACTTGCAGAAATGCCAGACAGCGTGTCATTGAGACAGAATTCAACTACAGTGAAAGAAGGTGAACAGTTTGCCATACAGTGTGACATTGTTAATGTTGCACCAGCAAGAAATCTCGCTGCGCTTTGGCACAAAGGAAATAAGATCTTAAATTCTGAGACATTTGATGAGTCCAGTCCATCTCCCGTCAGTAAGTCATCTGTCCTCACTCTGACTGCTCATAGAGATGATGATGGAGCTGAGATCTGGTGTGAAGCAAAACTAAACTTGTGGCCAGGAGAACAAGGTCCTGCCATGATGCGCTCAATGTCGCATAGAGTGACTGTACTCTGTGAGTTTTTAACTCGATCTTAATCAAACATCAGAAGATTTTCCTTGTATTTTATTTTCTAATTTATTTCTCATTTGTCTGTATTTTATTTGCATGTATGTCCTCAGACCCACCAACCTACACCAAGGCTGGAAATGAGACTCTGGAAATGACAGTTGGTGAAAATATGACTTTAAATTGTAACGCTAAAGGAAACCCTCCACCATCATACCGCTGGGAATTCCCACAATTCACAAAAGAATGGCATGACAAAGAAGAAGTGATTGAGCCAATTCTGACCCTACCGTTTGAGCTTCCAGGGGTCTATACATGCACAGCCTATAGTAACCAAGGCAATGTGACCAAATATTTCAATATCAGCGAAGCTCCAAGTAAGTTCTCATTAGTTACTTCATGACATTTTGTATCTCGTTATACGTTCTTATTGTCTATAATATTTTGTGCTGTGGTTCTCCATTAGGTAGTCATCCTGGGACCACTGCTGGGATTTTAATCGCTTTGTTCTTTGTTTTCATTTGTATTTTGGGATGTGGGGTTTATTACAGACAGAGCAGAAAGTCTGAGCAGATAAGTTGAGAGCGACAATGTAACAACACTTCCCATCTCCCACAGGGTCTCGAACAACCTTTGGAATCATGGTGGGAGTGGGTGTGGCCGTCGGAGTTTTGCTCCTCATTGCTGGTGCATATTTTGTGACACCTAATGGAACGTTCTCTTTCAACAAAGGCGGCTATCAACCAGGAACTCCCTCAGGACCAGTATAAGGCAGACTTTTTTTTTTTTAAATTCAGATTTGCATGGCTATTATTTTTATTTTTGTTAATGATTTTATTTGGTGCTTGGACCCAAAAATTCTGTAACATGTCTCTTAATGGACAAGGGACATGTCAGCTCTGCATGCTCTGTGGGTGTTCTTCTGCTCAAAGCTGTAGCTTTAAAAATGCATTATCTTGTCAGCTATCTCTAAAGCTCCACTAATCAAGATTGCTGCCCTAACAAACATATATATAATACAGGAAATGTGTTTAAATGCACTGCAGTAACCTTTACAAGTCTGTGTATAAAAATGCAACAGATAAATAATTAGATTTCATCCCCACTACAGTCTTATTTTGGAAGCATGATGTGCTTGCTGGCCTTATTTGGAAATCTTTACTACACAAATACTTCCTGTTTCAGTTTTAATCAGGATAATTCAAACCTTTTTGCATATGGATGTGATGTTTTCCTCTCTCCTGCACATTTGCACAAGTCTGTAGCTGATGTCGAGATGGTTACTTGAGTGCACATAAACTCATTTAATGAATCAAGCTGATGTTGGACTCAGGGGAATTAACACCTAACAGGCGCTCTTTTTCTAGCTCATCATTTTGGTTTTATGGCTTTCACATATACTGTATGGTTTGTTCTGTGCTGATTATCAGCTTCGTGCTGCAGCAAAGCTCAGATGAAGCCACTATATTCTGTCCATGCGAAACTACAAATGAAGACAAAGGTCGTGAAGAAGAGCCTCGCATGTATCAAAGGAATTAAACAGAGCATATATTTTGGACACAATTGCTGTAATACGTTGATACATCTATATATGGCCAGAGTGGATTTCTCAGCTTTTTGTGCGGTTGTGCTTTTGGGTTATATTTCTCATCTAGTAATTGTGTTAAAAAATATTGTTTTTATTGTTCATATGACTTGATAATTAGGTACTATTTAACAGCAATTGTTGCCTCATCTGAATTGTGGACCTCTTGTGTGTCTTCAAAAAAAATAACAATTCATCAAGAAGTACATTAAATATTTGCATAAAACTCATTTTTTTTAAAGCAAAACTAGAAATTCTATTCTAAATGCTTTGGAGGTACTTTTTATGGAATTACTTGAGAGCACAATGTAGTAATTACTTTTTTTAAGTATTCATTTTGGGATCTGCATAAATTATTCATATTTCTTTCTCCTTTTTTGTAAAATTTGATTTCTGTATGCACTGGTACATCTTTCGGATCGCTTCATAATTTTTGCACTGAATAGACTGATAGAGTTGATCAAGTATTGCGCCAACTTTTCACATGACACAACAGTTGTTTTACTGAGTCTGCATTTTACCAGAGTTTGTCTAATTGTACCAGTGAAATGTTTAAAAAAAACTACATGTGTGTGATTGTAAATCCTGAATTAAACAAGAGAGTGAGCGAGCTTATGAATCCTCCTTTCTGAAGACGAGGCAAAGTCAAACCAGTTTTCTTTCTCACTCTCTGTCTTTAAGCCTGGCTACATTTTACAATGTTCACTCTGCCATACTAATTAGTTCTTAACAAAGTGAATGTAAAGAAGATCATTTGTGATCCAGGCTACTGTTGCCAATATAAACATATTTCTTATGAAACCATGTTTTTTTTCCTTCTCTGTCACTGTTCAAATACTGTTTCTGTATGCTCTGTGTTGCCCTAACAACCTGGCACAGCCACCAGTGCTCAATTAGTCATGGACTTAAAGAAAAAAAACAAGATTTTTCAAATGAGCAAACGCACAACATTAACGTGTTTCGATAGAGAACTTTTAGGGGGAAGAGCATATTCAAAGCTGCAAGTGAACTGAGCTCATACTGCAATGTGTAAGTTGAGATTCCCAGCTGTGCTGTCCATAAATACACCATAAAGCGTTCGATTACTCGCTCCCTTGCACTGCAGTTGTGGTCAGAGCTGATAGGCTGCGTAGCATTCTGGTCACAGTTGGGAGTCTTACAAGCTACATCCTGCACAAGACCAGCACTGCTGCCTGCTGGGATTTCACAAAGCATGGAGGTCAGGAGCAATAGGAGGCAAGCATGCAAGACGAAGGGAAAACAAGCGTTTCTTCACAGAGAGTGACACTGAAAGGAAAGAGAAAATGTGGGTCAGGTTGATATGCTTTCACCTCTGTGTTCTAGGAGACTCACATGACTCAAAAATTAAAGAAGGAATGAACATTTGGTGTTTACATTTTATTCTACTCAGATTTCAAGCTGGGTATTGGAAAATAGGGGTAGGGGGTGGAGGAAGTAGACAGATATATTAATCCTATGTTGGTGGCATTTTAGTTCTGCATATACTTCGATGTCTCTGCAGGCTTTAATATCCTGCATACTTGCTTCTAAGATTACTGCAGTGCAGTAAGTGTTATGCCGTGTTTTTCAGAGGCCTGCAACCTGTTACATTTCCCTCTTTCCCTTTCACCCCCTCCATCGCCCCCCAAAGTCAGCTGGGAGGGAACTTTTGTTCCAACATAATTCCCTGCAGGGTTGCCAAGGTCTTTCAAGTTGGAGTTCTCTTTCTCTAGCCTGTTAATCCACGGCTCGGTGCAGAAAATAACATGGGAAACAACTTTCTCACATGGATTCTTTTGCTTTGCACATTTTGTTCAGGTAAGATTTTGTCGCAGAGGTGTTTCTTTTCACTTCTTTGGGTTGTAGATCATGTTTGGTCTTATGGAAATGCTAGTAAGTAAATCCAGGTTGGAATGATCAGTAACTTCTATGCAATAAATCTAAAGGCGAGCTCGAAGAATTAGAGCAGCCAGTTTTGTGCTGACAAAAATATGACTATTTGTCTTCATGCCAAGACTATTATTTACTCAAGTGATGAAAGGCCCTAAAGAATAAGATGTGCGGTTGCATGCTGGATGCTTATTAGGTTGCAGCCAAGATATAATGTGGGTGACGCCCTGTAAGTAGGTCAGTTTAATTCTGCTGTCATAGCACATGTGAATTATTAGTAGTATAGCTATAAATCCCCTATTAGCAATGCACACTTGTAAACTTTGAAAGTATCAGACAATTCCCGCTTGATTACTTGAGAGTGTGCTGTAACAGGGTTACATAATGTGCAAGTAGTTACAGCTTTTTCATGTAAATATGAATATGCATTGTGATGATGATGACAGAAAAACAGTGAGAGATATCACTGCTGTGTATCTTAGTGTCAGGTGAAGGCTGCTCCCTAATCCTCAAGCCGTCCAGGGTCGTGGTGGGCTTTGGGGAGTCAGTGTCTGTCAGCTGCGAGGCTGCACGCCCTGTCCGTGTCCTGGGCTGGGAGTCAGCCATCAGTGCTTCACACACACAAGAGGACCGGTCTGTCCAGTGGAAGGTGGACAGTCTCATTGACTGGATAGAGGAGCCCATCTGTTATGGGGTGTTTTTCACAGCTCCGAAACAATGCGAGGAGAAGCTCAACCTCGTGCTCTACAGTGAGTTGTTTAAAAGCTGTTGTTAAGATTGATTTCTCAACCAAGCCCTTTTTTGATTGACCTGAACCCTGTGTGTTATTCATTTAGAAACTCCAGACAGCGTCTCCATCAGACAGGTGAACCACACCGGCCCCATGGTGGCAGGGAAAGAGTACCAGCTGCTCTGCGAAGTTCAGAATATTGCTCCCGTTCAGTATCTCAGCCTGAGGTGGTACAGAGGGCAGACTGAGGTTTATAACCACTCCTTCTCTGATCTCACCTCTTCCTCACCTGTCCAAGTATCCTCTATCCTTGTTATCACACCAACTAAAGCTGAGAATGGAGTGCAGTATAAGTGTGTTGCAGAGCTGGAGCTTGGGCCAGAAGGACCACAGCCACCTCCTACTGTTTCCTCAGAACCTCTCAATGCTTCTGTTTATTGTGAGTCACTAAGCTCTTCTCATTCTTAAAGCAAGTTCCTGCATGCTCGATACAGTGAGAAACGATATGTGTAACTTTCTCTTTAGTTCCCCCGACATTCCTGAGTCCTGAACCAGAGATTTTGGATTCTATACCGGGGGGTGAAATCATATTAAACTGCACTGCAACAGGAAACCCCACCCCAATATACAGCTGGCAATCCTCCGTTCCCATGCAGGAGAGGGTGGAGAATGAAGCAACTGTAACCTCCTCCTCGCTGCTCCCAGGGACCTACACCTGCACTGCATCCAATACACTGGAAAAGAAAAGCAAGCAGTTCATTGTCAAGGCAAAGACCAAAGGTAGAAGAGAGAAATGAGGCACATGTGCAACCTGTCTGTGCACGCTGCAGCCTAACTGTTATCTTCTTTTGCTTTCACCTAGGCGTTTGAAACAACCACTATGGAGAGGGGATCAGACGACCACATCAGAAACACAGCGAGAAGTTTATCTTTTTTACAGGTTTTTTTTTCTGGTGTTTTTGTTTTGTTTTGTTTTTTTACTTTCACATTTGCTACTCTGGCGATGGAGGTGCATATTTATGAGACGATCTTCTTATCATCCAGAATTAGTTCTGAATATGCTGTGCTTGGTAATTACCATTTAATTTGTCAGTGTTGTTTTAGGATGTAGTTCACATTTTATGAGACATTCTGTGTCTAATTTATATTTGGATAGGCCCTTTTTTCCTATTAATGAAACTATCGTGTAACACTACAGAAGTGTAGCTACTCATCATAGCAGTATGACTAGCAGCAGGACATGGCTGTAAATATGAAGTCTTCGTTTTCTCATCTTTATCAATACAAGTTTAATAAATGAATTGTAATAAACTTCTTTCATGGACCAACAAGCCAGCTTTGATCAAACATCTTTCCAAAGGGAAAAAATACTAAGAATACACATAATTTACAGTAGTCTGTCTAATCCAGATGAAGCTTAAATAAATCATGCAGAACTTAGAACATATAGTTAGAATTCATATTAAAGGTAACCTTTATAATTTCCTATATTCATTTTAAGTAAAATTACATATTTTAAAGATTATGACTTGGAGCTCATGGAAATCAGAAGCCAATTTCTCAAATTCTTAAAATATTGTCTTATATTAATGAAACAAAGATTTACAATACAGAAATATCCAACTTATCAAAAGTATGTTCATCTGTACACTCAATACTTAGTCTGGGCTCCTTTACCATGAACTGCTGCATGATTGCAGAGCAGCGTGATGCAGCCGATCAGCCTGCAGCACTCCTGAGGAGTTATTTAAGCCATTGCTTTAATAGCCACCTTCAGCTCATGTTTATTTTCGTGTTGCGTGTTTCTCAGCTTGACAATACCCTCCACAGACTCTCTGTGGCAGGGCTGGGCAATTACCCACCCCCACTCTACGGGGTTCAGTTCTGGCAAGTTGACTGGCCAATCAAGCACATTAATAACCTAGGCAGCAAATCTGGTAGTAGTTTTGGGACTCTGGGCAGGTTCTAAGTCCTGCTGGAAAAGGAAATAAGGTTTATCAGCAGGTGGAAGTATGAAGTGTTCTATAAGCTCTTGGTAGACAGCTGCATTGACATTGCACTTGATAAAACATGGTGAACCAACCACATCACAGACCGTGGAAATTTTACACTTGATTTCAAACACCTTGGATTCTGTGCCTCTCCACTCTTCCTCCACAACTTTGATTTCCAAAACTAAAAAGTAAATCTGGTTCATCTCTGGTTTAGGAAAAGTCAATGTTTGCTCTTGATGCACTGGCACCGCGCTCAGCCCATTCCTTTTCACCAATGACTTTCTCTGCCTTACTCCCTTTGTGAACAGTGTCACTGATCGCTGTCTGGACAAGTGCCAAGTCAGCAGCCTTGCCCCATAATTGTGATTGCACGTGGCATGCCCAGTAGATAAACAGTATTCATGCTGTAATAACATTCATATAATCAAACTTGTGAAAAAAATCTAATATCTGAGACATTGATTTTCACAAGCTATAAAACACACTAAATTAACCTTAAAAAAAAAAGTTTATTTCACTGTGTTTGAAATTAATGCAGAATACATACGCGTTTACCTTTTTAAAGCTATACCAAAAAACCCCCCACAACTTTTCACAATATTCAAACAGCTGCCATTGCGTCATTTGCCCTCTGTCACTGGGTCACTACTACTTCTCACCGCGAGATGGCGTGGTTATACTGCTACAGTCATTTATGTTAGGGGGTGATTGGTTGTTGAAGACTCACATGATCAAAACACTGCCTAGTAAGAGGATTTTTAAATATATATAAAACTAGTATATAATTGTTGGTTTTAAAAATTTAGTGCCATCTGTGTGTGGATTTTATAATTTGGACCTCTGTCACGCGGTCACTGCGGATTCTGACCACGAGATGACGCTGCTGTACTTCCTAAGAGGTGATTGGCTGTTGAAGAGTCACATGCTCAAAACACTGCTTAGCAAGGGGGGACTAGCATGAGCAGCTAACATTAGTTAGCTCTATGAGACTAATTATTAGCTCCATGAAAACTACTTAAAAGTGATAAAGGTGGGAGTCATTTCTTGGGTCCTTTCTTATGTTAAGTCCTCTTTGCATTTGCTCACAACAAAGAATGTCCTGTTCTCTTTCAGAAATGCCACAGAAGGATCCGTGCCAAAAGCAAGCATGTGCAATTCAGAAGTGTTTACAAGGTGCTTTAAGCGCTCACTTTGACGCAATTATATGTTGGTGAAGTGAACCTGAACTGTTGCCTAACTCTGTCTCCCTCCTGCAGCTAATAAGTACGTGGAAAGCCTGTGCGAGAAGGAGATCGCGGAGATGCGGCGGTGCTGTCAAGTGCATGCGGAAAACTCCATTTGCTGCTCCGGGTTCAAAGACTCAAAACCCGCAGAGAGCAAAAGTAGCGAATAGTTCCATGTTGCATGTATTCATGCAAGTCATAATTCTGCATTGTATCAGTATAACATGACAGTGGAGTTTGCTGAGTTGTTGCATATTTATTTGTCTGTCTGCTACCATCCGTTTGTTAAATTTAAATAGGGTTTTCTCACAGCAGACATTTTGAGATTGCAGAGAGACTCATAATCACTCATTCCCCTGGGGCTAAATGGCACACATCTGGCAGCCTCGCAAAGCTGAACAATGCAAGCTGTCTAATGTATTTAAATATTATCGTGTGGTTCTGTCCACACCCAATGTATTTCTCATGCCTAGTATGAAATTTCAAGTATGTGTGTGGCAAGGAGTTTTATTCTAATTATAGTAATAAGAAAGATTTTTTAAATTAAGAATTTCCCTGGAAATCGAGACTAACTTGTTACTCATATCTCAGCTTACAGCGAACACCCTACAGTGGATAACTGTTAGGGGTGTAGAAGAGAACATGGCAGAAAGACAAAGTTTAATGCTAGCTGGGTAGACAAGGATGAGGCTCTAACAGTTGTTTTTTCCTTCTGGTAAAGAAATAAAATATTTGCAATTTGAATGAAACATTTGGGTTATACTTTTTAAATTAGGAGCATCATTCACCACTCATGCAATGATTAGGACAAGAAAGTCATTACAATTTAAGATTTGTTGATTGATTCATGATGTCAAACATTTTCTTGATGGAAGCAGGTAAAAGTGGAGGTGTGAAATTAATAATACTCTGGTAGATTTGTGGCTTTCAGTTAATTCAACAACCTTATTGACTACATAATTGTAATTAGAACTACATAATGTCCTGGGTAGATTTTATTCCTAGGTGTGTTGTTTTCACCTTCCATTCTGCTGGGTTGATTCTGCCCCTTGGGCCAGAACTGGGTCAGCCGCACCAACTCAGTGACTTAAAACTTTTAGTCCCTGGTGTTATGGATGGGCCCCAGGGGTCCAGGCCCATCCAAAAAGGTCAGTGCACCCCCTCAGCTGAATTCTACTGGCATAGTTTTGGAGGCAGATGATCCACTGTGGCAACTCATAAAGAGACAAGTAAAAATAATTATGTTAGTAAAATTAAATCCTTCAGTTTGGTAATGAAGGAGACCTAAATCATTGATAAGCTATTACAGTAAAAACCAAGCTCATGTTACTTATTCGATT